CACAACTTCCCTTTCGATTTTTACCGGTTATCGGTTATTAAATTATACAATTATCATGTTAAACAATCCCTTTCATACCTGCATTGCATGATTTTCTGAAGAATTATTGACTACTGCCATTTGAGTGATGTCAAGCTCATATTTCGCATCTTCAAATGTCTCCTCCCACTGCAAACTGTCTCCTACTCTTAATTCTACTTTAAAATGCTATGCCAAATCAACACAAGGCTCTGTTCAACATTCTTGAATATGTTTTCTCAATTTCTTCTTGAGAGACAATTTTTCTAGTTTAGATGAATTTCCAGTATCTGGATCTGGAATGCAAATACAAGATATGAAAAGTATATCTTCATTAAAGATGGGTTTCCTATTCATATGATTATTAAATAATCTGAAAAGTTTATGCTTCACAATAATCATCATATCATATCATATCATATCATATCATATCATATCATATCATATTATATGTATCATTGGTATACTTTATTTCATTGTATTCACAAGATTTGTTCTTTTGTCTTATATTTTATTGAATCATTTAAGCTAGTATAAGAAATATAGTTATACATCATTAGATATCTTTATTTTTTACATTACCAGTGCATGGAAACCATGTACCTGATATTTATGTTACTGAGAGAAAGGGAAAGTTTAGTGTGAGCTACCAGTATTAGCCTCTAGAAAAATAATAAAAATATTATAGCTATACAAAAGCATATGAAGATGGAAGTTGAAGGTTATGGCTGGATTTAGGAATTATTCACCCACTTCAGGTTACCTCCTGAAATCAAAAGATGGTAGGAGGACAAATCAATACCATGATAAATTACTTGGCGTATTGCACATTCTTTCACATCGCTCAAATATAATTGATTCAGCTATATTTCCTGTCAACACCAAAGATAAACTTATCCTGTTCAAATTAGATGCAGCAATAACACAGGGATGGCAATAGAGTGTGCTTTTTCACTCAATATTCGCGACTTTTGTTGTCCATTATAATTTAACTGCAGTGATGTTGGCTACTGTGACGTTATATTAGTAGACTTAGAAGTCATAGAAATCTCAAACAAATTCCGGGAGAGGAGTCTATTTTTTTGAAGTACTGTCTGTAGAAGGTGTGTTATACATGCTTAGCCTATTGGACACAAGCATCTGTTTAACAGTCCTTTCAACGGACTGGAATTCTTTTTCATGCCAGCCCTCCACTGACAAGTGGGTACCCAGTGAGAAAATCCATGTCAGTCATCCTGGAATATGAACTTAGGACTGGCACCATACAGGACTTAGGACTGGCACCATTGTTTAGACAGAGTCTAAACAACTTGTTAGAATGAGGCCTTTCACACTACACTGAATAGTTATCCTAAACATTCTGTTTCCTATCAGAAAAACTTGCACCGTCGCTAGTGTATAATGATGGTATGACTCTTGATTAGACCTAAACATTCGAAGCATGCCGTCGCTGGCAGCAAAATCAAAGTCCATGGTAAAGAAGTCCTCTGTGAAGGAGCTCTACTGATTTCCATTTTTTGTTTAGGCAATTATAAACCTGATATTTGTGACTGCTGTCATTCAATCAAGTTTTGTGATACCGTGTAAACGGAATTATGATTTAATTATATATAAACACCAAAAGTTTTGAGAATTTGAAAACATTTCACATCCAAAATGCACCTGTTAATGCTTTATCATATCAATCGTTCTCTGAAATTTTATGTTGTGTTGCCCAGGTGTAAGCCTACATCATGATTTTATTTTGGTAGGCTACTTCCAAAATAGAGTGAAAGCACATCTTACCTTGACTTTTTACCTATCTTACCTATCTTGGAAATTTATC